TACCCACTTGGACGGGAAGCATTACCCTAAGATTTCAGCCTTCTAGCTTCTCAGATCCCCGAGTTAGGAATTTACCCGAAAAAAATTTTGGTGTGGTCATACGCCGGCCTACCCGGGGGCTGAGTTTGAGTCCACTAATACCCGCTTGGGCGGGGAACATTACCCCAAGATTTCAGCCTTCCAGCTTCTTAGATCCCCGAGTAATGAATTTGCGCGGAAAAAATTTTGGGAGGCCCGTACGCGGGTACCACGCTTACCCAGGGGCTAAATTTGAGCTCATTAGCACCAGCTTGGACGGGGAACATTGCCCTAAAATTTCAGCTTTCTGGCATCTCGGAACCCCGAGTTATGAATTTGCGCGGGAAAAATTTTGGGAGGCCCGTACGCGGGTACCGCGCTTATCCGGGGGCTGGATTTGAGCTCATTAGCACCTGCTTGGACGGGGAACATTACCCTAAAATTTCAGCATCCTAGCATCTCAGAACCCCGAGTTATGAACTTACCAGAAGAAAATTTTGGCGGGCTCGTACGGGGGCACCACGCTTACCCGGGGGCTGGGTTTGAGCCCACTAATAACCGCTTGGGTGGGGAACATCATTCCAAGATTTCAGCCTTCTAGCTTCTCAGATCCTCGAGTTATGAACTGACCCCAAAAAAACTTTGGGCGGGAACATTACTCCAAGATTTCAGCCTTCTAGCTTCTCAGATCCTCGAGTTATGAACTGACCCCGAAAAAACTTTGGGAAGCCCGTACGCGGGTACCACGCGGGTTTTGGCGCCCATTTTGGGGACTGGGGGCGGTACGTGCATGACCCGTGCGCGGGTACCACGCGGGTTTTGACGCCCATTTTGGGGATTGGAAGCGGCACGTGTATGTAGATTAAGTTCCCGAAACTTCAGCCCCGCAGCTTCTATAGGTCCTGAGATGAAAGTGCGTGACAGACGCACACACAGACACACGGACAAACAGACAACCTCTCGTCAATATGCGTTTTTCGCATTGCATTGCTGCAAAAAACGCATAAAAAACAGTGTGAAACCGTGTTCCTGTAAAAAGCGCACAGTGTGGTTGTACACAGCACTGTCGGAGTACATCACTTATCAAAACACTGAAAAAAAAAGCGCAACCAAGATAGTTCTGGTGTGTGCGCAGTGAATTTTTACGCAAAAATCCAACCAATTAATTCAAAAGTGTGGCCAAAGACCAGCACAACCTGCGCTTCTGGCATAGCTTAGGATGGACTGTCGTCAGAATGTCGGTCATAAAGAGCGACGGTCAAGCATCGCTGCTGCTCCTAGAAGTTAGTCTATTTAGCGTCCCGGTTATCAAAGCCAAATTTTCGTTAGTCTGCCGCTTATCAAACAAGAATAATTGGCCCAACGCACGGGCTGCCCGTGCGAAGATGCGTTTTTTGCATGGTTCCCCGCAGGTTTTGTTGCTATAGGCACCGGTTTTTTCGGCAAATGCTTCTAGCTAAACAAATTAAGACTAGCCACCAGAACTGTCAGAAAACATCCCCTTAAAATTTCAGCTTTCTAGCTTCCGCGGCCCCTGAGTTAGCAACTTACTGGAACAAAATTTTCACGGGCCCGTGCATATTTACTAAGCATGC